TCCAAATCAATCTTGATGAACAAAATTTTATCAACCGATCAAAATCCTATCTTATTCTTCACTCTTCACTCGAGAGATTCAATCACACCTTGATTGCAAGAATGACTCTGCGCAAAAATTGTTAATGGAAGAAGAAGAAATAAAATTGAATAAGAAAGAAGATTAGGGTTTGACAGAAATTAGGGAAGAAGAAGATTTTTGCTGAGTCTCTTTCTGCCCATAAACAATGCAAATCTTATTAATTTTGCAACTGCAAGTAATTGCAAGACTTAGGGCTGGAAATGAGTCGAGTCGAGTCGAACTCACCTCAGCTCGGCTCGACTCATTAAGAATTGGTTCGAGTTCGAGTTCGACACAAACTTTTTTTAAGCTCAAACTCGACTCGTTATAAGTTCACGAACAGTTCGGTTCAACTCGTTAGGTTCATCTCATTAGGTTCAGCTCACATGATTCATAGACTTAAAAACTATTTTTAAAATATATATATATATATATATATATATATATATATATATATATATATATATATATATATATATATATATATATATATATATATATATATATATATATATATATATATATATATATATATATATATATATATATATATATATATATATATATATATATATATATATATATATAGTATATTTGACATTTTAAATAAATATATTTTTTTAAAATAAAATATTAAAATAAAATAAAAGTTATCATATTGAAATTTAACTTTATCTTCGAAATCTACTAATTCAAAACCTACACAACTTTCAAGAGATACATTTGAGAGTCTAATTCAAAAACTACTAAATTGAAGATTAAATTTGTCTAAGATTTGGAGTAAATATTTAAACCTAATCTTAAAGACAATATAATTCTTCTCATATGTAATTGAGTTGACTCATGAACCTAACGAGTCGAACTATGTTTAGTTCAAGTTCAACTCATTTAGTTAACGAACTTAATTTTTCGCTCATACTCAATTCATTTGGTTCATGAACCTAATTCAATGATTTAATTGTCGAATCGAATTCCAAACTATTTTCGAGTTGGTTCGGTTCATTGCCAACCCTAGTGTGGTCCGATGAAGACATAACCTCTTGGTGGTGCATATTATTTTGTGACTTTCATTGATGATTATTCTTGGAAAATACAAGTTTGTACCTTGAAGATGAAAGATCAAATGTCAAATACCTTCAAGCTGTTTCAAGCATCGGTTGAAAGAGAAACGGGGAAAAAGCTCAAGTGTATTCGAATCTGTAACAGGGGAGAGTATGTTGGACCTTTTGACAAGTATTGTTAAGATCAAGGTACACGTCATCAAAAGTCTCCTCCAAAGATACCACAACTGAATGGGTTAGTCGAAAGAATGAATAAAACTTTGTTAAAAAGGGTGAGATGTTTACTTTCTCAATCAAAGTTGCCAAAATACTTTTGGGGATAAGCATTGAGAAGGATTGCACATCTTTTAAACCTCACTCCATGTGTTCCATTGAAGTTTGATGTTCCAAATCATGTTTGGAGTGGTGAAGATGTTTCCCATAACCATATTCGGGTGTTTAGGTTGCATGGTTTATGTGCACATTCCGAAGGATGAGAGATCAACATTTAATGAGAATTATAAGAAATGTGTGATTGTTGGTATGATCTTGATGAGTTTGAGTATCGATTATCTAATCTGATTCAACAGAAGCTTATTCGTAGTCGCGATGTTGTATCTATGGAGGATTATACCATTGAGGACATCGACAAAGTTGATAATAAAGATCCAATTTTTGAAGATGAATAAATGGTTGATACGAGCTTAAATACTATTACTCCTACCCCTATCACTTTAAAAGATGTTCCAATTCAAAGTTAAGGTATGGATTTGAATGTTGATAATGTTTTAAATCCTAATGATATTATTGAAGTAGGTGCTACAGAAGAATTTGTTGAAATTGAGGTTGAAAGTGTTGAGCAACCAGTTGCTTCTAATGAGTTGAGGAAGTCTACTCATGATAAAAGGAATTCTGCTCGATACCCCTCAAACGAGTATGTTTTTCTTATCCATGATGGAGAACCCGAAGGCTTTGAAGAAGTTTTGGAGGATGAGAATAAAAAAGAATGGATGGATGCCATGGAGGATGAAATGCAATCACTTTGTGAGAATAATACCTTTAAGTTAGTGATGCTGCCAAAGGGTAAGAGAGCATTGAAGAATAGATTGGTTTACCAAATTAAGCAAGATGGGTGTACTTCTAAAAAAAGATACAAGGATCGCTTGGTGGTAAAATATTTTAAACAACGGAAATATGTTGACTTTGATGAGATTTTTTATTTGGTTGTGAAGATGCAATCTATTCGAGTGGTTCTTGAGCTACCTGTTAGTCTTGATTTGGAATTAGAGCAAATTGGTAAGTCTTTATGGTTTGAAACAAGCACCTTACTAATGGTATCAAAAGTTCAACTTGGTGATGATTGAACATGGGTACAAGATGGCCAAGGCCGATCAATGTGTGTTTTTTTTGGTCTTTCTCTAAAGGTGATTTCATTATTCTCTTGCTTTATGTGAATGATATGCTAATTGTTGGAAAGGATATTTCAAGAATTAAAGAGTTGAAGAAAAATTTGAGTGAATCTTTTGCTATGAAGAATTTAGGAATGGCTCGGAATATTCTTGGTATGAAATTGTTCGAGATCGAAATGAGAAGAAATTGTACTTTTCACAAGAAATGTATGTGGAGAAAGTCCTTCGACATTTTAGTATGGATAAGGCTACAATGGTGAACATTCCACTTGCTTCTCATTTCAAGCTTAGTCATAAATTATGGCCATCTACATATGAAGAAAATTTGAGTACGAAGAACATTTTGTACTCGTCAGTCATTGGTAGTTTGATATATGTTATGGTTTATACAATACTCGATATTGATCATGTCGTGGGAATGGTGAGTCGTTATCTCTCAAGTCCTATAAAAGATCACTGGGAGGCCGTGAAGTGGGTGTTGAGATATTTGTGTGGCTCGTCAAATTTAAAGCTAATCTTGTGACGAAAAAAGCTTAAGTTGGTTGGGTATACGAATTCAGATCTAGCCAGAAGCTTGGATGATAAAAAAAATCAACTTCGGAGTATATGGTGACTTTTGCCGGGGGAGCCGTGACTTGGAAATCAAAGTTGCAAAAGTGTATTGCACTCTTAACTATCGAAGTCGAGTTTATAGCCATCGTGGAAACGTAAAAAACATTGTTATGGTTAGGGAATTTTATAATGGAACTTGGTGTGAAACAAGGAAAGTATGTCTTGTTTTGTGATAATCAAAGTGTCATTCCCTTATCGAAGAATTCCTCCTTTCACTCAAGGTCATATGTTCGTCATCATTGGATTCGTGATGCATTAAACTCCAAGTTGATGAAGCTCGAAAAGATTCACGCCGATGCCAATGGTTCAGATATATTGACGAAGGTGTTGCATAGGAAAAAAATTGAGTTTTGTCGCACGATAGGCGGATTGATGTTGCTCTCCAACTAGTCGGTTGGGGGAGTTTATTGGGTTATCCCTACTATTTTGAGTGATACAAATGAACATGGGTTAGTAGCCCATGTATGTGTAAGCCTTTGTTATTATAAAACAAAGAGAATTAGGTTAACAATTCATAAGGTGAGAAATAACAAAAGAAAAATTGAGAGAAAAGTTAAATTCCTGCAGTCCTAATTTAGCACAAAGCAGTTTCACGAGATTGGAGTTTTCTCACAATCCAACTGTCGGATCGTCCTAATTTTTTATGAAAGCGTTTAACACTCATAAAGGTACATTAGAATGGCGGAGATCGAATTTTGAGCATTCTATGTATGTATGACGAGTCGACTTTTGAGGTGCATTTTTGTGTGATTGTTTTGGTTGGTTGTCTCTCTTGATTCTTGCTGTACTCTAAGATTGATTGTAGATTTTGATGATGTTGATGTATGCCTATAACTAGTATTAGAGAGAACTTTAATTGTATATGTTGTTTAATTATAGTAGAGATTTAAGTGGCCTACGGATAGTGTGGTTTTTTACTCCTAGTTAACATAGGTTTTTTTACACTAAAATTATATTGTGTTATTTGGTGTCTTGTTGGATTATTCTGTTGCGTTGAAAATTTTTTTTCAACATTTATAAATCAATTTTGTAAGATTAAATTCGTCATTTATATCTACGCCACAACTTGAATCCTCAATGATATAGTAAAATCTCAATTGTTTACATTGATATTGAAAATATAAAAAAGAAAACATGTTAAAAAATTTATATTTCTTTTTTTTTTAATTGAAAGAATAATTTTAACATCCTACAACATAAACATATATTATTAAACATCAAAATATAGTCAAAATCGTAATTTTTTTTTATAATAAAGTTATATCTCTAAAATAATTTTTATGAAAAACTATTTAAAATAGTTTTAAAATTAATTGATTTTTTAAAATTTTGAAATCCAAAAAAAAATTCAATAAAATAATAAAACATCTAAAAATAACATTCTAAAATTAATTATTTAAACCTAATTTTTTGTTAAAATTTTTATAAAAAGTTTTTTTTTTATAAATTTATTTTAAAAAAAAATTATATTACACTTTTTTATTTTTATAAAAAAATTAAAACAAATAGACCTTTAAACTAAACATCAATCTAGTGAAAATCTCACCAAAGATAATCCATTTCCACCCTGCACCAAGCTCAATATATTTTTTGCACACTAAAATCAATTGTGCACCATCTCATCTTTTTCAGCACCAAATACAGGCCTCATTTTGGAGACAAAATGGTTACATAATGAATATTTTCAATGTTGCTTACCCTTTTTGTTAACTTCTTTACAATTTTGAAACAACATTGATGTACCCTCCTCAATGCGACGGTCGCCAAAATGAGTACGAGTACGGGCATAGACGTGCTGATTAGAACTCTCTCGATTCGTTGCAACTATAAACGGATGGCCGCATGACATAAGTCGAATATTTTGATCAAAACTACACCCTTACTTCGTGTCTTCTACAAAAACTCTGAAGATGAATTCGCGAAAGCGTTTCGAGTATAGCCTTGGATCAACGGATGAGATTGATGTTGGATCGTATTGGATTGATTTGTAAGCATGCTCAAGCTTTTTACTAATGTCGTAGTCTTGTAATATGTCTATGATACCGAAAAATATTATAATATCGTATAACTCCCCAGTTGGTTCTCCAACCAACTGAGGAGTGTCGCAATTGCTTCTTCGTAAAGCCATTTCGGCTTGCGCTGGCATGTTTATACCTAATTGAATCCACCTGAACATAGCACACAAAAAGAGTAAATGTTTAATGTTCGGTTTCATCGGATTCATGTGTAAAAAGTTAAAACTGAAAAGTCTTTCGAGATAAGTTGATTGAGTATATACCGACTAGGATCTACGATGAGATTATCTATGTCGACTCCAGAAAGTCGAGGGCCTCCATCGTCAAATCCAGATGGGGTGCACGCTCCTGAATTTCGACTACAAGGTGTAACATTGCCATTCGAAGTTGTTTCTCGAAAGTGAAGACCAACCAACATACTATAATCCATGATCCTTTCGTGTTCAAGAAAGTCGCAGTCTCTCGAAACTTGTCTGCATGAAAACATGTTTACAAGTATAATCAACTAACTTCCAAATATTCATTTTTCATCGATAACTTGCGAAAAAACTCACTTGCAAAATTCTTGGAACCAAGATTTCTGCAACCGAAATATGAAATTTAAGTCGAGATCTTTAAGCGTTGTTGTTGGCTCTATTTCTGCCTCGGGTTTATCCGTAGTGCGACCAAACGTTGAACCTTTCAAGTCAAACCGTCTGTGAATGGTGTATTGAGAACAAAATATATTTCCCATGATGACAAAGCGAACCTGAAATTTATGAAACGCATTTGATTAAGAATAAAAGTTTTACTTTTATGTCCGTAAATCCTAACTCAATTGACAGAAGCTGATATTGTTAGGTTGGACGCCATAATCAGGGTTCGAACCGTGGTACACACTATTGTGTGTGAATTTCTAGTGGTTATAACTACATCGTCTACGGACCAAAAAATTATTTGAAAGAGAAAATTTATAAACACCTATTCATTACCTTCTTATGTGCAGCTCCTGTTAGTTTTACACAATGTAGACCGAAGAATTTTGTGACTAGTGTGTTCTCGAAAGCCCGAACGTGTTTATAATATGCCGGAAGCATTTTCAGAAAAACCTGCAATCATGTAATGAAATATCATTCAGTTGGTTAACGATCTCATAATGCACGCATCGAGTGAAAACTATCACCTCAAAGTGGACTATAGTACATATTTTCGACAAAATTTTTAATTTCGGAATCTTTAGCTAACTAAAATGGAACTCACTTTTACTTCGGCTTTTTTCATGGTTTTGATCATATACCGGTCGTCGTTCGTCAAATAGAAGAAACTTCCGCTTTTTCCGGGAGACGAGAGTTCCCGAAGTGCGTCATTCCCACATATTGATATCATGTAATCTGCAGGATCAACTTTGAACAATTTTCGGAGAGCCCTGAAAAATATAGATGCAATCAAATCAATCATCATTGTTTCTGAAAATTCGAAATACTAAAACATTGTTTCGTAAATAAAATCGGATAATTCAATCTTGATGACAACCTGAATACTACCGGACAATAGTCTTTCCATCTAAATTCACACGAAGGATGAGGTGGCGTATGCTTCGAACCTTCTGACGGAAATCGAGTCCAAACTTTCTCTTTGGGATCAAACGCGGAAGATTTCAAATCAAGAGATGCACTTGGAGCCGGTCTTCCAACAGAATGTCTGTGCTATGGTACACGAAATTAGTAACTACGCAGCGAAAATTAGAATCAGAAAAGGAAAATTAGCTACAAATTTTCTGATTAGTATACCTGATACCTAGTTGGAGATTCAACATCAGTTCATAGTTTTTATGCCCTTTAGCTATAGTTTCTCCTTGTCTTTTCGACGCGGTTATTCTCAACTGCGGCGATTTATGCCAACTTTGAACAGAATTACCTCCCAACCCACCAAATGTCGAACTTCTACCTGAACCGTTAGCCCCTTCTTCCTCGCTGTGATTACTAAGCCTTCCATCAACTGAACTCCATCTAGGTTTTCCATTAGCAACCGTTCCTTTCTTACGTGTAGATTGTTTCGTCATTTTATTATTACCTTCGTCGAAACCCATCAAACTCAATATCTTCTCCGAAGGATAAATCGAAACATCTTCGCAAGGCGAAATCGTACAATCACTCAATTCAACAGTGTAAACCTCTTGAGGATCCCATTCGAGATGATTATCACACGAACCGGATGGATTATACATACCACTTTGTTCATTAGGATCTTTACTCCAAACACCAACATAAAAACTACCATCACACCATCGAAACGTACCGTTACCTTTCGGTAAACCGTCTTCCCAACAACCATCATACCTATTACCATTTTGCCACATCATTGTACCATTCCCATGAAACAAACCATTCCGCCATTGACCTACATATTGGTTACCATTCTTCCATTGATACCTACCATGTCCATTTTGCAAACCCTTCTTCCATTCACCATCATAGAAATCACCATTAGGATAACTCTCATTCCCATTCCCACTTTTCAAATTCATAACCCAAGAACCTTTATAAGTATCACCAGATGAACCCATATAAGTACCTTTACCATCCATATAAAAAACCTTGAATTCACCTTCATAGGTAGCACCACTAGGCCAACTATACCTACCTTTCCCCATTGTAAAACCTTGAATCCATTCACCAACATACATACAACCATCAATCCATAGATACTTACCATGACCATGTGGAAACCTGTCAAGCCATTGACCTGTGTAGAAATCACCATTGGAGAAAATCTTTTCAATATGACACAACTCTTTCGACGAAGACGACGCTTGTTCGTCGTCGTCTTCGTCGTCTACATGGGCTACAGACATCGGTGTGAAGATGCTGTTAGCCCTTTTCTTAGCAGTTGCAGATTTTCTAACTGTTGCATCCCATGCTTTTACAATTCCATTCAGCTCCCTGCTCATTCTCTTGAATGTCTCCACTTTGATTTTTGAAACCTTAACCCATCAAAACCCAAATGAAAAAAATTCAATTTTTCTATCTCATTACATAAACCCAAATGAAAAAGATTCAATTTTTATATCTCAATGCATAAACCCAAATGAAAAAGATTCAATTTTTATATCTCAATACATAAACCCAAATGAAAAAGATTCAATTTTTCTTTATCAATTCATAAACCCAGATGAAAATTATGTTGCAGAATGCATTTCTGCAACAAACCCAGAAATTAAAAAAACCCCCAAATCAAATCAAAATGATGAAACCAAACAAAAAGACTAAATTTTTTCAATTTGATTCTTTGTTTCTTCTAACGTTGTTGTTGGTAACAATAATGGGTTGTGTTTGGATTTTGAAGAAAACAATGGTGATGTTGGGTTTGAAACCTATGACTCTTTCTTTTTCCTTGTTATTTCCGAAATTAAAAATTTTATTTCCTCTGTTATTTTGTTGTTGTTTTGTTCAATTGGATTCCATTCAACTCTTGGTTCAATGGATGCCGAATTTGGCTCCTAAGAGTAATTTAAAACCATACAATTGTAAGAAGAATGAGAAAATATGTGTTGAAAGCTTAGGTGTCTTTCAAATTTTCAATGCCTAAATTTTAGGATTTGAGATAGAGTTTTATTCTAATTTTAGTGTTTTTTTTGTTTGTTTTAATGATCCCAAATAGATAATGCCACTTGGTTTTAGGGCTTTGTTGATTGATTTATTTGTTCTTAGTTCTTCATTTTTCTTGAGCTAAATGCAATTGATGTTGAATCAATGAGATTTATGTATCCAAAGGGTGAGAAGTGAAGTGAAATGTAAAACAAAACAAGTTCTTTTTATCTTTTCTTTAAAAAATAGATTATTTTGAAGAAGAGATAATCATAGTTGAGACATGTAATAAATTAAATATAACTACATATTTTTTAGGTGAGATTCAAATTTTAGTTTGTTACCTAGTAGAGTTTAATGTTTACATTTTATAGGATATTTTCTTTAAAATACCATTTATCTATTAATGTATAATATTAATAAATACATATTTAAAAATAATAATAAATTAATTTTGAAATAGAGCTTATAATTAATAACATGAGAGTAAACTCTATTAAAAAAACTTAAGTCAAACTCCAAATGGAATTTTGAAATCTCAAAAGGTTCACTTTAGCTAGACATCAACTCCAATGGAAGTTCTTAGAGTGAGTTTGCCAACATGACACTCATATTTGTTGTTTTCAAAATTGTCATGTTGTTCAACGGTTCTTAATTAAGCAACGGTTCTTCAACGGTTCTTATATTAAAATATTAATTTTATAATATAAAAACTATAATTTAATATAAAATTTTATTTATCATTTTAATTATCATATGAAAATTATAATTACAATATTAAAATATTGTGAAAACTATATTTTAATTATAAATTTAAATTATAAGTTTAATTTGAATTTCATTTATTTTATTTTTATTTATTTTAAATTATAATTTTAATTTCAATTTTTTTATTTTATATCAAATTTAATTTAAAACACTAAAATTAACTAAGGAGAGATTGAAATATTTTTTTTTAAGTTTAATCTAATTTTTTAAAAGTTTATATAGTAGAATGAAATATTTTTTCTTAAAACAACACTATATACCACTTGGATTATATAGTAGATTGAAATAATTTTCAGTAAAAAAATTAAAATAATTATTTTAAGTGATATAAAATTTAATATGCATAAAATATTAATATATAAAGTAAACTTGTGGGACCCAATATGAGTTCTTCAGAATTGCACAATTGGAGTGAAAAATTAGTTGAGTTGCTTCAAGCTTGACGTGGCTTAATAGGTCCCACAAAGAACGCAAAAATGAGTTCACGGTTGGAGATGCTCAACTCCAATGGAAGTTCTTAAAGTGAGTTTGCCAACATGACACTCATATTTGTTGTTTCCAACATTGTCATGCTAATCAACGACATATAATTATGCAACGTTATTCAACGACTCTTTATATTAAAATATTAATTTTATAATATGAAGACTATAATTTAATATAAAATTTTATTTATCATTTTAATTATCATATGAAAATTATAATTATAATATTAAAATATTGGTTTTATAATATAAAAACTATATTTTAATTATTATTTTAATTTATAAGTTTAATTTGAATTTTATTTATTTTATTTTATATTAATTTTTATTTATTTTATTTATATATTTAATATAAAATTTAATATGAATAAAATATTAATATATAAAGTAAAGTTGTGAGACCCAATATGAGTTCTTAGAATTGCACCATTGAAGTGAAAAACTAATTGAGTTGCTTCAAGTTGACGTGTCTTAATAGGTCCCACAAAGAACCCAAAAATGAGCTGACGTGGTAGGGTTTGCAATTTTCTCCTTAAAAATTGCTATTGTACGAGAGAGTTTGTAATTTTGTCCTTATAAAATTACAAGTTGAATTATGATTTTATAAGTTTGTTGGAATTATTTGCTTCTTTTTCTTTTTGTGGCTATGCTTCCACGTGCGTAGAAATTTATTTATTTTTCTTCCAACAAATCTATCTTTCCTGGTGTGCGGTGCACATTAAGTTATGACTCATGTTTATTGATTGTTGTGAAACAATGTCAAAGAAAGCAGAGTATGATCGGCTTCTTGATCAACAAGAAAACCATAAAGTAAAGGAAAAGAGAGAAGATAAGAGAAAGAACAATTTAAAGTGGTTAAACAGTGGATTCTTGATTCAATTACACATTAGGGAACAATGTTTACAATTGATCTAAACCACACCATTTTCCCCTCTGATTAGGATTATTAAAGATTAATGGAGAAGTGGTGATTAGTATGCTATATATAAGAAAACTAAACCCTAACTTTCAACTAACATACTAAACAATGGTCCAATAGACTAGTCCAATTCAACATGCTAACTTAAATAACAAGCTAACAAATTTTTGCATGCAAGAGTTGGTTCCCTATTTAGTGCACATTTTCAACTACTGTCAAACCATGAAGCTAACCTTGTCCATGTTAGAGTTTGATCCAAATACCACAAATTTCTGCCTTGGAACAAACTCTACACTAACAAGGAAACAAACTAGCTTTCATCACACAGCTTTATCAACTGCATATAGTGGAAGAACTTGCTACTCAACAATCCCTTTATGATCATATAAGCAACATTGTCATCAATCGAAACCTTCAGCACTTTCCATGCTCGATTATATCTTTGACGAAATGCAGCCTTACATCGATGTGTTTGATTTACTCATGATAGGTTGAATCCTTCGACAAATGTATGACACTTTGACTATTATATTTAATAGTGATAACTCGATCTTGGAATTTCAGTTCCTTAGCAAAACCTTCAAGCCATTATGCTTCCTTCACAACTTTAGTGAGGACAATATACTCCGCTTCAGTGGTCGATAAGGCAACAACCTTCTGAAGTGTTGTTTTCCAACTGATTGTTATGCCAAACATAGTGAACACATATCCACAAATAGATTTTCTAGAATTCATATAACCGGCATAATCAGAGTCGACAAAACCTTCGATTTTGACTTTACTATCATTACCACATGCTCTACCATAAATCAATACTCAGCTCAGAGATTCATTTATGTACCTCATAATCCACTGTAAGACTTGTCAGTGCGCCTTCCTAAGATTGGTCATATACTTGCTTACAAGGCTCACTCCGTACGCTATATCTGGCCTCGTAGATACCATATCATACATCAAATAACTTACTATACTAGCATATGAAATTCTATTCATATAGGATCTTTTGACTTCTGTACTAGGACTTTGAGTCGTACTTAGCTTGAACTGAGGATTAGCCGATGTTACCATAGGCTTTGAATTCGACATAACAAACTTATCAAGAATCTTCAGTAGGTATGTCCATTGAGATAAGCATAATCTCGACTACTTTCTATCTCTCTAAATGTCAATCCCAAGAATTCTGGAGGCAACTCCTAGATCCTTCATGTCGAATAACTTATTGAGTTCAGCCTTCACCTTCATAACATCTTCGACACTGTTGCTTGCTATAAGGATGTCATCCACATAAAGCAAAAAAATAACAAGTGAATTTCCAGGTCAAAATATGAAGTAAACACAATGGTCTAATTGGCTCCTAGTGAAACCTATGTGCGCCATGAACTTGTCGAATCTCCTATTCCATTATCGAGGAGATTGTTGCAGGTCATATAGCGACCTATTCAACTTGCACATATAATATTTCTTTCCTTTTTCTGCATGCCCTTCAGGTTTTCTCATCAGGATTGTTTCATCCAAATCATCATACAAGAAGGCTACCTTTACATCCATCTATTCAAGTTCTAAGTCGAACTTTGCCACCATGGCTAACAACATTCTAATCGATATGTGCTTTACAACAGGTGACAATACCTCATTGAAGTCGACACCTTTTTCTAAGTGAACCCACTAGTAACTAACATTTCCTTAAATCGCTTTGACATCACTTATTTGATTCCTTCCTTAACGTTGAAAATCCACTTACAACTGCCTAACCTGGCCCCTGATGGTTTCTCGATTAGCTCATAAGTGTTATTATCATGAAAAGATTTCTTCTCATCATCCATGACTTTCAGCCATTCAATTTTGTTTTGATTCCTCACAACATCCTTGTAATCTATAGATTATTCATCAAGGACCTCGCTTGTAAAAATTAAGGCAAAAGCTATGAGATCTACATAACCAAGTCTCTGAGGTAGCTTGATGACTCTTCTCGATCTGTCTTTTGCCAGTAGGTAGTCATTTTTAGTCTCCTCATCTTCATCATCAACTTATACATCTTCTTCAACTTCATATGGGTTATACAATTCAACTTTACTATGCTCCACCTCAACAGGAATCTCTTCATGTTCCAGCTCATATTCAGAATCTCTGCATTTTGACCAACATCATCAGTTATCTTGAAAGCCATCTCTGCTTCATTGATAACTAAATC